CTCACACACATAAAATAAAAATTTTTTAAAAAGGAAAAAGGAATAAGAGGATGTCCTATAATTCCAGTGCTCAGGAGGCTGAGGGAAACAAGTTTCTGTGACTAAAAAGGGACAAACTACTGATACAAATAACATGGATCCTGAGCATAGTGGTGCACACCTTTAGTCTCAGCACTCAGGGGGCAGAGGCAGGTGAATCTCTGCTAGCCTGGTCTACATAGTGAGTTCCAGGTCGGCTGGGGCTACAGGGAGACTTTGCCTCAATAAATAAATAAATAAATAAATAAATAAATACATAAATAAATAAATAAAATAACATGGACTAATTTCAGAAGAGTGAAAGGATCCAGATACAAAAGAGTATACACCACAGGACTCCAGTTATATGAAAGTCTAGGCAGGGCACAGTGTATAATGACAGCAGGCAGCTCAGTGGTTACCTAGGATGAGTCAGCAGCACTGAGCTGACAGGAGAAGCTCCAGGAATCCTGCTTATGGATTCCTCATTTTCTTTCCCTGCCTCTCTCTGAAAGGCAATACAGCTACTCATTCTCCCTGAATGGACCTGCTGCCATCATGCTTATTTTACTACAATGACGATGACAGTGATAATGACAGTAGCGATAGCAACCTCCATTGACTTGTTTCCACAGGGTGAGCATCTCCTGCGCACTCACCGAACCCTTACAATTCCATGAGCTGGTACTGCTGCCAAATAACTATCATTCCTACAAATGAGAAAACTGAAGCTTAGGTTCATTACCACGGCCAGGGTCAGACTACCGAGTAACATTTCGGATTCTAAAATTTCATGTTCTTGGGGCTGGAGAGATGGTTCAATGGTTAGGAGCACTGGCTGCTCTTGCAGAGGACCCAGGTTCGATTCCCAGTACCTACATGATAGCTAACAACCAATTAACTCCAGTTTTGGGGATCTGACACCATCTTTTGACCTCCAAGGGCACTGCACAATACGGGTACACTTATGTACATGCAATCAATATACTCATACATGTAAAATGAAAAAATTATGTTTTTTAAAAGAAATTTGTGCTCTTGCCTATTACACAAGACTTATAGCTATCTGCTGGTAGATATTTAAAAGTTCCAGGGCTTGGGATATAGCTTAGTTGATGGAGTGCTTGTCTACCTTGCATGAGGCTCTGGGTTCAACTCCCAGCACCATATAAATTAGATATGGTAGTGAACTTGGGAAGTGGAGGCAGAAGGATCAAGAGTCCAAAATCATTACATAGGGAGTTCAAGGCCAAGCTGGGCTATATGAGACCCTGCCTCAAAAATAAATAACACATCTGCTGGGCATGGTGGCATGCGCCTTCAATCCCAGCACTTGGGAGGCAGAGGCAGGCGGATCTCTGTGAGTTCAAGAGAAGCCTGATCTACATAGTGAGTTCCAGGCCAGCTGGGGCTACAGGGAGACCCTGTCTCAAAAAGACCAAAATAAGGGGCTGGAGAGATGGCTCAGCAGTTAAGAGTACTGACTGCTCTTGCAGGACCTGGGTTTGATTCCCAGCACCCACACAGAGGCTATGAACCATCCTTAACTCCAGTTCCAGGGGAATCTGAAGCCCTCGTCTGACCTCTGTGGCATTGCACGACATGGGTGCACTCACATACATGCAGGCAATACACTCATACACATAAAATAAAAATAAAATATTTTTTTAAAATCCTTTTAAAAAAAGACCAAAATAAATAAATAAATAAATAACACAAAATAAGTCTAACTAGGGCCAAGACCAGGCATAGAACATTAGGCTAGCATGCACAAGGCCCTAGGTTCAGTCCCTAACACCATATAAATAAAGGCCCAAGTGTCCAGAAAACCTTTGGCTCATGATGCTTCATGTCAATCATGCAAGCTTCATCTGCCCCAGCATGTTCCCTATTGGACTCTCACAGCTCCCATGCTCAGACCAAGCTGAAGGCTCCTAAACACCTACAGCTGCCGAGCAGCATTTATCTAATTTCCTAATTAAGATTCCCAGTTTTGAAGTTCCGTTCCTCAGTCCTGTCTCTCATGATGGTTACCTACCTAACATACAGGTCCTCTTTCTCCAGTTTCTTTGCCTCCTGCCTCTTCTTGCCTCAAGGCCTAGATTCTACTTTTGTCTCACAACTTCTCCTAATTATGTAGCAGTAATTTACCTTCATTATCTATGAACTCCAAAGAAGAACCCAAAGGCACATAAGACTACTCTCAGCATAGAACTACTGAATCAGATTAAGTCACTGACAAACAGCATGCACATTACAGGACTCTTTCCTCCACAGCTTCTAAGATTGCACACACTAAAGCCATGCTTGAATAGAGTATTGTTATATCATCATGAAACAAAAGAGAAATGGAGAGGTTACTCAACGGCTAAGAGCACTGGCTGCTCTTCCAAAGGACCTGGGTTCAGTTCCCAGCACCCACATCGACAGCTAACAAATGTCTGTAATTCCAGTTCCAGGAGATCCAGCCCCTTCTTCTGCACTCTGAGGGCCCTGCATGCACATGGTGCTCTCACATCATGCAGGGAAAATGCTCATATACATAACAGAAAAAAAGGAGGAAACCTAAAGTACATGGTGAGCAAGTGTTTACTCAGCAAATCCTTCACATGATTGAGTAGTTTCCAGGTGTGCTTGTTTGTTTTGTGAGCTAGAGTCTTGCTATGCATGCTGGCTGGCCTGCTCCTTCTCTGTCTGACATTAGCTCTATTCGCCATTGCTAAGGCAGGACAGGGACATCTGCATGGGGACATGTTCTCAAGCCCTAATTCATAACCTATTACCCACTAATAAGTAAAAGTATTTCTTTCATCCTTGTTAACAATGTATGGAATGTACATTTTTCTTTATCCCTCTATCTTCTTGCAAGGACAAAGCCTGCCAGTTGCCCACTGGTGACACCAGGTACCCAAAGATGAACTGGCTATTGATTTCTATTTACATAGAAAAACTATTTCTGAAAACTGACATTCCTATGACTACTTAAAAAAAAATCATCAATCTTGGACTGAAGGGATGCCTCAGCAATTAAGAGCACTGGCTACACGCCAGGTGTAGTGGCCTGTGCCTTTAATCCCAGCTCTCGGGAGGAAGAGGCAGGTGGATCTCTATGAGATCCAGGCCACCCTGGTTCACATTGTGACTTCCAGGAAGGCTGTGACTAGGAAGATCCTGTCAAAAAACAAACCAAACAAAAAAACAAACAAAAAAAGAGGACTGGCTGCTCTTACAGTAGACCTGGCCAGCACCCACATGGTGGCTAACCATCGGTAACTATAGTTCCAGGGCATTAGATGCCCTCTTCTGGCCTCTGCAGGCATTGCACAACATGGGGACACCAACACAAGTAAGCAAAGCACTGATAAACATAAAATACGGGGGCGGGGGAGGAAAAAATACAAATAAAACAATTAAAAAAAAAAATCACCGCCGGGTGTGGTGGTGCACGCCTGTAGTCCCAGTACTTGGGAGGCAGACGCAGGTGAATCTCTGTGAGTTCGAGGCCAGCCTGGTCTTCATAGCAAGTTCCAGGACAGCTGGGGCTACAAGGGAGACCCTGTCTCAAAAAGACCCCCCCCCAAAAAAAAATCACCAATCCCCAAACCACTTTGGTAATTTGAGAAAAGTTGGTGCTGGGGATAAAACCCAGTGTCAAGAAAATGGTGGGTAAACAAACCTATTAGTGAGTTGCAACCTCAGCCCAAGGCTTAGCATTTTCTTCTGTCAAAGGGAAACCTCAATCAATCCATCAATCTCCCTTCCTCCCTCTCTCTCTCTCTCTCTCTTTTTGAAACAGGGTCTCTAAAACTCCTGGTCCTCTGGCCTTAGTCTCCCAAGCTCTAGAATTACAGACATGGGCTATTGTATATGTTTTTGTTGCATCTGTTTGTTTGAGACAGGGCTTTCTGTACCTAGGCTGTCCTGGAATTCACTATATAGGAGATTTCCTTAAACATCTGATCTTTCTGTCCCCACCTCAGAGAATACCATCATGCTGGGTTTATGAGGTGCTGGGGATCAAGCGTAGGGCCTCAGGAAGCTGCACCACAAGGAGCTACTATCAGTGCAGTCTCCCTTCTCCTCATTCTTTTCCCTATTGCCCAAAAAGGTCACTTGTTCTTTGCCTCACTTCTGGTATCACTGAAACAGGTGTAGAATATTCTTTATTATTGTTGCATTTTACCCAAAATGTTGACACACATATTCACATATCAAACATTAAAGATAACTGCTGGGTGTGGTGGCACATGCCTTTAATCCCAGCACTCCGGAGGCAAAGGCAGGCAGATCTCTCTGAGATCTTGGCCGGCTTGGTCTACATAGTGAGTTCCAGGCCAGCTGGGGCTGCAGGGGGACCCTGTCTCAAAAAGCTTAAATAAATAAACATATAGACAGATAGATAAATAGATAACTGCATTAACCAAAGAGGCACAGTCTTAGCCTCTGAAGGATTCTGTAAGGTAGGCTAAACAGTTGGCTAGAAAAGTGGTTTCCAAATTTAACTCTACAGAAAGGAAGCAAAGCCGGGCGTGGTGGCGCACGCCTTTAATCCCAGCACTTGGAAGACAGAGGCTGGGGATCTCTGTGAGTTCATCGAAATTTGAGGTTTGCTCGGATGGAATGACAAACAAATTTTAATGTCATCTTTCAAGAATTTTGCACAAAACCCTCACTGCATGGCCTCTTCAGGAAGACAGGCTGATAACACCAGCAAGCGGTTCCATACCACTTTGAGGTAACGTTTAAAGGGTCACCAAGCCACTACTTGCCTGTTTCTCAGTGGGTGTGTCTGGGCTAGCAGGACAACATCCTTTGCCCCGCACCCCGTCCCTCTAAGCCCAGGGGTACCCTCCCCCCTACCCGCACTACTTGCCTGAGTGTGTCTGGGCCAGCAGGACTTCTTCCTTTGCCCCGCACCCCCGTCCCTCTAAGCCCAGGAGGATCCCTCCCTCAAACCCCACCACTCCAAAGGGTGAATTCACCTGCACTGAAGGTCACAGGAAATTTTTGGTTCCATAGAGAGACCTAAGGGTCAAGACTTGAATAAGCTCTGGCCTCGGGGGCCGTCGCAAAGGGCTCTACACGCCCTGCCATCTTCATTCCCCTTCGCTTGGCATTCGAAGGGGTTCCGGGCTCCCCGGGCTGCGGATAGGTGCTTACCAGGCCCTCGCCGCCAAACGGCCCTAGTCCTCCAGGAGACCGCCTCAACCCGGACGCCAGCAAGGGGAACACCAAGGCAGCGCTCTGATTGGTTCATGGAGCCGGAAGTGCTTGCGTCTGGCGGAAGTGCTCCTCCCGCGCTGTCCGTCGGGTCGCGGCTCTCAGGTAGGCGGGGCCCCTGGTTTTAAACCTTTGTATACAGGGGCGAGTAGCAGCCTCGGGTTTCGAGGGCGAGGAGGTGGGCGCGAGGGGTTTCGGGGCCTTGGGCGGTCACCCGTCCTGTTCGAGCCCGGCGTCCCTGGGACCGGGATAGGAAACTGACGACCGAAGTTGGGGCTGTACCCTAACCCGGCCACAGTGATCAAGCGCATCTCACTTCCGCCTGCAGAAGGTGTGGTTCCAGTCCTTCCCATATTTATTATTTTATGTTACTTGTTTATGTGTATTGCCTGCGTGTATGTAAGTGCACCCATGTCATGCAATGCCCGGGGAGGTCAGAAGAGGGCGTCGGATCCCTTGGAACTGGAGTTACGATGGTTTCAGCCGCCATGTGGGTGCTGGGAATCGAACCCAGGTCCTCTGCAAGAGCAGCCCAGGCTCTTAACTAATGAGCCGTCTCTCCAGCCCCACCCCTTCTCTTTTCGTGCTTCCGGTTTTGACAGGTTTCGTCCAGGCGTGTGCCGGGAGCTTTTTTTTTTTTCTTCCTCAGAAAAAAGCTACAGCCATTAAACGCCATCTCCCCCAGGTCTTCCGAGAAATAAAGGGTGTGTTTCTATTGTAGGTTGTTCATGCGGAAGTTATCTGGACTGCTTTTAGGCCAAGTTCATATATACCAAATAAAACTACTTGTCAGTAGTTACTCTTGCTCCAGCCAACTCCACCCCTAAAGTGGTTTGAACTTTGAGCCTCATGTAATCCCGATGAATAATTTCGCTTTCCTCAAATTGATGACACTGGGAGCTTCCAGAGTTGGAGGTCTGTGCAGTTTGAGACCCGTCAGCAGTTAGAATACTAGGAGACAGGTGAGCATGAATAATTATGGCATTTAAGAGCCATTTTTGTAGTTTCTGTAAAAGTGTGCCACTTTTATTCAATGCCAGATGGTGCCAATGAGTTAAATCTTTCTGAGCTGAATCTGTAGCCTGTGGTTAAAGCTTTTCAAGCTTCTATCATCCCTGAAATTTATTTGCTTCTTTAGAGTGTTTTGAGGCCTTGGGGGTATACCCCAGTGGTAGAGTGCATACCTAGCATACTCAAAGCCCAGGGTTCAGTCTCTAACATGAGGGGATTTAAAAGTTTTTTTTTAACTTTATTATTTTTATTTTTATGTGTTTGCATGTATTGCCTGCATGTAGGTAAGTGCACCTGTGTCGTGCAGTGTGTGCAGAGGTCAGAAGAGGCTGTCAGATCCCCTGGGACTGGAGTTATGGATAGTTGTTAGCTGCCATGTGGGTGCTGGGATTTGAACCTGGGTCTTCTGCAAGAACAACCAATGTTCTTAACTGCTGAGCCATCTCTCCAGCCCCTTTTATTTTTATTTTTAAAAAATGTTGACTCTATGTAGTTGGTCCAGTGACCAGATATTAGCTCTACATTTGTGTTGAGAAGGCTGAGAGATGAATTAGACTCATTTTATGCTCTAGAATTTATTTGAGAGAAAGTTAGACAAACTGTGCTATAATAAAGTCTCATGTAGAGGGGCTGGAGAGATGGCTCAGTGGTTAAGAGTACTGGCCACTCTTGCAGAGGACCTGGGTTCAAATCCCAGCACCCACATGGTAGCTAACAACTGTCTGTAACTCCAATTCTAGGGAATCCCATGCCCTCCTCTGACCTCCTCAGGCATTGCATGACATGGGTGCATTTACATACATGCAGGTGATACACTCATACACATAAAATAAAAATAAATATTTAAAAAAATCTCATGTAGAGCTGGGCATGTGGTAGAATACATGCGCAGGCCCTGGGTTCCAACATTGCAGTAAGTAAATACATTAAATCAATGAGTCAATGATGTCATGGCAAAAGAAGTTCTAATAGAGAATAAGATGTGAAGCACAAAGGAAGAAGCCATCTGTTCTTATTATTCCTTTACCCAGTATGCTTTGCCTGCCCAGGATTATGCTAGAAGGAAAAGATGAAATCTGTATCCTGAAGTAATTCACAGCCTAATGATTAGGAAGAAATCAAAGGGGGCCTTATGGAGAATGTGGTCCTTGGCCTAGACCTTGACAAATGAACCTTGGCTGGATAGAGACTCAGAAGAGAAAGATGAGCTGGATGTGACTAGGGTATAGTCAGCCAGTGGTAGATGGTGTGCTTAATATAGATGAAGCCCAGGGTTCAATCCCCAGCACAAAAAAAACGAAGAGCAAGTATTTGATGCGTGTTTTACCTGTGGTATGGGTAGACACGGAAGTCAGGTTTTATTTTTGATGCTGGGAATTGAACTCAGCTAAGTACCATATTTCACTTATGCCAAGCTCTTGCTTTAACACTGAACTATACTTCCAGCCTTTAGATTATGTAATTAAGTCTGCAAAGACATTTTCAGTGTCAATTTCAACTTACCTTGACCTTTACTAGAAAAGTCTGATCTAGAGTGAGACTTAGTCTCAGAAAAAAGTAAAAAAAGCTCTTAATCCCAGCACTTGGAGGCAGAGGCAGGCAAATCTCCATGAGATCAAGGCTAGCCTGGAATACATAGCAAGATCTAGGCCAGCTGGGGCTACATTGGGAGATCCAGGCCAACTGAGGCTACAGGGAGACCTTGTCTCCAAAAAACCAAAAAAAAAAAAGGAAAACGACCAGCCAAACGTGGTGATGATGCCAGAACTGTGGATACTGAGGCAAGAGAATCCCTATCACTAGTTGGAGAGCGTCGTGGTTCTGTCCCTCCTCAACAGCAACTAAAAAGGTTTAATAAACCTTGGATTTAAGGATTTTTTTAACAGTCTCGTGTATGTGTAGCTGAGAATGAACTTGAACTTCTGATCCTTCTGCCTCCACATCTTGAGTGCTTGAATTATAGGGATGTACCACTAACCTGGTTTGTGTGGTGCTGGGGATTGAACTGTGGGCTGCTTTTTTTTCCCAGATCAAGAATTTATTTTTAAATTTCATTGATTTAATTTAGGGGGATGGAGTGAGGCAGGGTCTCACTATGTAGCCCTGGCTGGCCTAGAACTCACCACATAGACTAGGCTCACTTCACATTCACAGAGATCACCTTCCTGTGCCTCAAAAGTTCTGGTATCAAAGGTGTATGCCACCTGTATTTTTTAAAAATATTTTATTTATTATTTTTATTTTATGTGTATGAGTGTATTGCCTGCATGTATGTGAGTGCACCCATGTCGTGCAATGCCACGGAGGTCAGAAGAGGGCTTCGGATTCCCCTGGAACTGGAGTTAAGGAGGGTTCATAGCCGCCATGTGGGTGCTGGGAATTGAATCCCGGTCCTGCAAGAGCAGTCAGTGATCTTAACTGCTGAGCCATCTCTCCAGCCCAGCCACCTGTATTTTTTAAGATTTATTTTAATTTTATTTTTGGTTTATTTTTAATTTTATTCTATTTTGTATGAGTGTTTTGCCTGCCAGTGTTTTAAGTGCACCTCTGCATGCAGTGCCTGTGGAGGCCAGAAGAGGGCATCAGATCCCCTGGAACTGGAATTGAGGTAGTTTTTAGCTGTCGTGTGTGCTGGGAACCAAATCCTATGCTTTTAACCTATGAGTCATCTCTCCAGCCCCAGTTTTTTAAGTTTTTTATTTTTTTTTGGTTTTTTTTTTTTGAGACAAGGTCTCCCTGTAGCCCCAGCTGTCCTGGAACTCACTATGTAGACCAGGCTGGCCTTGAACTCACAGAGATCTGCCTGCCTCTGCCTCCCGAGTGCTGGGGTTAAAGGCATGCTCCACCACGCCTGGCCTTGTTTTTATTATTTTTAATGTGTGGGTTGTATGCTCCTGAGCTAGAATTGCAAGCAGTGTGATCCATCCAAGCTACACAACTGGAACTGAACTCAGGTCCTTTGCAAGAACAGTAGGCATTCTTAACTGCTGAGCTCTCTCTAGCCTTTATTTTTTTTAAATTTTATTATTGTTTTTATTTTATGTGTATGCATGTATTGCCTGCATGTAGGTAAGTACACCCATGTTGTGCAATGCCCACAGAGGTCAGAAGAGGCTGTCAGATCCCCTGGGACTGGAGTTACGGACAGTTGTTAGCTGCCATGTAGGTGCTGGGATTCAAACCCAGGTCTTCTGCAAGAACAACCAGTGTTCTTAACTGCTGAGTCATCTCTCCAGCCCCCTAGCCTTTATTTTTTTTTTATTTGTGTGTGTGTGTATATGTGTGTGTCTGAGTCAGTGTATGCCACATTTAGAAGAGGGTGTCAGGGCTGGGCATGATGGTGTGTGCCTTTAATACTAGCACTTGGAAAGCAGAGGCGGGGGATCTCTGGGAGTTTGAGCCCAGCCTGGTCTACACAGTGAGTTCCAGGCTAGCTCGGGCTACAGGGAGAACCTTCTCAAATACACACACACACACACACACACACACACACACACACGCACACACACGAAGAGGGCATCAGATCCCATGGTGGTGTTACAGGTAGTTTTGAGCCACTGGACATGGGAGCTGAACGCAGGTCCTGAAGAAGAGCAGAGCTGGAAGTACTCTGAACCTCTGAGCCATATCTCCAGCCGTCTGAACCCTGGGATTCTTCTTTTTTTTTTTTTTTTTTTGGTCTTTTTGAGACAGGGTCTCTCTGTAGCCTCAGCTGGCCTGGAACTCACTATGTAGACCAGGCTGACCTTGAACTCACAGAGATCTGCCTGCCTTTGCCTCCCGAGTGCTGGGATTAAAGGCGTGTGCCACCACGCCCGGCTTGACCTTCTGATTTTTCTACCTCTACTTCCCAAGTGCTGGGACCACAGGCATGTGCTCTCATGCTCAGTTTGTGGGTTTTAGGAATCAAAGCCTAGCATGCATCCAAAGCCCTAGGTTTGATTTTCAGGACCACATAAACCAGGCATGGAGTCACATACCTGTAATCCCAGCACTTGAGAAGTGGAGGCTGGAAGATAAAGAGTTCAGGGTCATTGTCAGCTAAATACAAAGTTTGAGGCAAACTTAAGATACATAAAATTATATATATATATTTTTTTCTTCTTCTTTTTTTTTTTCTGTCTTTTTGAGACAAGGTCTCCCTGTAGCCCTAGCTGGCCTGGAACTTGTTATGTAGACCAGGCTGCCCTTGAACTCACAGAGATCTGCCTGCCTCTGCCTCCTGAGTTCTGGGATTAAAGGCATGGGCCACCACGCTCAGAGATTTTTTTTCACTCCTGTCTATGCTGGGCATGGGAGTCCCAGCACTAGGGAGGCTTAGGTAGGAGGATCTTGAGTTGAAGATCAGCCCTAGTGTACATAGCAAGACTCTGTGTCTAGCAGAGAGATCTCCAGCAGCCATGTAAGAGTCAGGTGTGCAGTGTGCATGTACCTGTAGCCCCTGCATTTTGGGGTATGAAGGGGTGGAGATAGGTGGGTCTCTGAAGCTTAACCTAACCAAGTCAGTGAGCTTCAGGGTCACTTTTTTCCTCAAAAAACAAGGTGAAGAGTTGGCTCAGTAGTTATGGGCACTAGCCCAGCACCCGCATGACAGCTCACATCCATCTGTAATTACAGTTTCAGGAGATCCAATACACTCTTCTGGCCTCTGAGGGCACCAGGCGTACATATATGCATACAAGAAAAACACTCATATGCATAAATCTAAAAATATAAATGAATGTGAAGAATGACAGAGGGAAGACCCTCATCGTGGACCTCTGGCCTACATATGTGCACTCACACTTGCATGCACACATGTATATGTCACACACATACACACACACACACACACATGGCTGGGCCTATTGGCACATGGCTCTAATCCCAGCACTTGGTATATTAGTTATAAAGTTAAAATACGTTAGGAAGAGCAAATTGTCAATGAAACAGACATAGTCTAGGAATTGGATTTATAATAAAGGTGGCACATTGGATCAGTGACTAAGAGCTGACTAGTGAAGTGCGATGGGACAGTCGTCCGTCCGTTTAAATTGTCAATGAAACAGACATAAGTCTAGGAATTGGATTTGTAATAAAGGCGGCACATTGGATCGGTGAATCAGAGCTGACTAGTGAAGTGCGATGGGACAGTCGTCATCCATTTAATGCAAAGAAATTGGACACTTTTTTTTTTTTTTTAACCTTTTTGAAACAGGGTCTTTGTGCAGCCCCAGCTGTCCTAGAACTCACTATGTAGACCAAGCTGGCCTTGAACTCAAAGAGATCCACCTCCCTCTGCCTCCCAAGTGCTAGGACTACCAGCGTGTACCACCACGCCTGGCTTGGACCCATATTTTATAACAAAATGTAGTTGCAGGGGCTAGAAAGATGGCTCAGTGGTTAAGAACACTAGTTGTTCTTGCAGAAGACCCAGGTTCAAATCCCAGCACCCACATGGCAGCTAACAACTGTCCATAACTCCAGTCCCAGGGGATCTGACAGCCTCTTCTGACCTCTGTGGGCATTGCATGACATGGGTGCACTTACCTACATGCAGGCAATACACGCATACACATAAAAATAATAAAAGAAAAGAATGTAGTTGCTTTTTTCTTCAGCTTTAAAAAAAATTTATTGGGGCAGGCTAGATGGCTCAGTGAGTAAAGGTGTTTGCTGCCAAACTTTACAGCTTGAGTTCCATCCTTGGAACCCACATGGTGGAAAGAAAGAACCAGCTCCTGTAAGTTGACCCCCTAATTGCCACATGTGCACCGTGGCACAGACATATACATATACATACACAATATTTTTAAATGTTTTTATGGTGCTGGAGAGATGGTTCAGTGGTTAAGAGCCCTGGGTGTTCTTGCAGAGGACCTGGATTCAGTTCCCAGCACCCACGTGGCAGCTAACAACTGTCTGTAACTCCAGTTCAGGAGAATCCATTGACCTCTTTTGACCTCCAAGGGCATTGCATGCCACTGGTGTACTTACATAGATGTAAGCGATACACTCATACACATAAAAATAACATACTTTAAAAATTTTAAATAAATAAAGTATTTTTAACTCTTAAAAAAAGGAGCTGGAGAGATGACTCAGTAGTTAAGAGCAGTTGCTATTCTTGCAGAGGACCTAGGTTTGATCCCCTGTACCCACATAGCAGCTCACAACTGTCTGAAATTCCAGTTCGCCCTTTCCTGACCTCTGTGGGCATTGCATAACACGGGTGCACTTACATACATGCAGGCACAGCATACACATAAAATACACATAAAATAAAAATAATAAATACAAATAAAAAAGGAAATAGATCAGGCATAGTGGTACATCCCTGTAATCCCAACAATTTGAAGTTGAAAGCAGGAGGATCAGGACTTGAAGGGCATCCTCAGCTATGTAGTGAGTTCAAGGGCATCTTCAGCTATGTCATGAGTTCAGGGGTATCCTCAGCTATGTCGTGAGTTCAAGGGCATCCTCAGCTATGTAGTGAGTTCAGGGGTATCCTCAGCTATGTAGTCAGTTCAAGGGCATCCTCAGCTATGTAATGAGTTCAGGAGTATCCTCAGCTATGTAGTGAGTTCAGGGGTATCCTCAGCTATATAGTGAGTTCAAGGGCATCAGCTATGTAGTGAGTTCAGGGGTATCCTCAGCTATGTAGTGAGTTCAGGGGTATCCTCAGCTATGTAGTGAGTTCAGAGGTATCCTCAGCTATGTAGTGAGTGCAAGGCCAACCTTAGCTATATGAGATCCTGTCTGCTTCCCCCAAAAGAGACAGGTTTTTCTGTTCACAATAATAATTTACTGGGCTGGGATTCTATCTTAATTGTAGAGTGCTTGCCTTAGCATCTGTGAGGCCCTGGGCTCAGTACCCTCTATTGAAAAAAATGGTAAGCCTGGACATGTTGTCATATTCTGTAATCCTAGCATGGGGGGACTGAGTTCAAAGCCAGTCTGGGTTGCATAGCCACAATTGAGAGTTGATGTACAGAACCATCTCTCCCATACCTAGAACTAAGAAAGAGTGTGGCCTTTATATTTTACTTTTTTTTTTTTTTTTGGTCTTTTTGAGACAGGGTCTCCCTGTAGCCCCAGCTGTTCTGGAACTTGCTATGTAGACCAGGTTGGCCTTGAACTCACAGAGATCCGGCATTAAAGGTGTGTGCCGCCACGCCTGACTTGATTTTACTTTAAATTTGCTTAATTTTAAATTACACTGGTATGTCAAATCTCCTCAAATAGCCAAATACGATGTATTATATGTGGGTTAATTATTCTATATAGTGATTATAATGGCCTCTAGAGGAAAAACGGAGACAAGCAAATTGAAGCAGAATTTAGAAGAGCAGTTGGATCGATTGATGCAGCAATTACAAGATCTGGAGGAATGCAGGTAATGGTACATCGTGTGTTGTTATGTTGTGAGAGACTTTCTGTAGCTGGATTACAAACTCCATGGATGCAGGCCCATTTATGATTCTGGTCTTTCACAGCACTTTGCCTGTTGGAGAAGTAAGTTATGCAGGCTTTGGAGTCATAAAGCCTGGGATGTGGAAGCCTTTCAAGTAATTACTAATTGCAAAATGCTTGACCTCCTTGAAGTGGAGATAATGACACCTACCTTGTCTGTAGTGTTTAAAACAGCTCTGTCTGGTATGAACTCCTGGTTCGTGGTTTCAGCCTTAATTGCTAAAATGCTGTGATTGGGGTGTAGCTGTGTGGCTGGCTGGATGTTTAGTATGCCAGAGGCCTGGGTTCAATCCCCAGCATCAAAGAAGGGGGAGGGCAAAACTGTGGTGCATGCTTGTAGTCCCAGCACTTGGGAGGTAGAGGCAGGAAGATCAGGAGCAGAAGGTCATTCTTGGCCACAGAGTGAGCTCCAGGCCAACTTGAGCTATACAAGACCCTGCGTCAATAAAAGAAAAAACAATTGTAATTTGTAACAGCCTTGGAAGGATGTTATAAATATTAAGATGAAGGAGGCAACACAATGCTTGGCCCAGAGTAGGTGCTCAGTCAATAGGAGCTCAGTGTGTGCCAGCTGTGGTTACTTGTAATAAATACTCAATAAATGGCTTTTTTGGTGAATAAAAGTCACATTTTATTCAGATAAGTGCTACATTGCTGTTGTTTTGCAAGGTACACAAAGTGTTTTCTACCATTAATGATGATGATTAGAAGGGGGAGGAGGAGGAGGATGACAACAGCTCTTTAACTGTTACTATACATGCCAAGCACTTTCTTTATTCATTCAGTTACTGCTCACAAAAACCCTTAAGCGGATCCTCTAATTACTGAAGCTTTATAAGGGAAGTTATTGTGTGTTTTACGTATGCCTCATATTGGCAAAAAAAACTGTTTGGGAGTAAGGGGTAAATAGCATACTCTCAGCTCTGGGTTTAATTATCCAAGTAACTACATTGCAAGAAAACAGAATGCCACAGTGTAACTGTTCAGACACATGCATTGTTGGCAATTGATGTTTGTTTTCAGCCTTGCTCTACTGTAAGTACTAAGATTGTTTGACTTGGAACAATGTTTTTCTTCATTATGGTACTCACTATACTTCAGGGAGGAACTCGATACAGATGAATATGAAGAAACTAAAAAGGAAACCTTGGAGCAGCTAAGTGAATTTAATGATTCACTGAAGAAAATTATGTCAGGAAATATGACTTTGGTTGATGAACTCAGTGGAATGCAGCTGGTATGTGTAATGTACTGTTTTGATTTTTGTTTTATTTTCTTTGTGAGATATTTCAGGTAGAAAATGAAAGGAGTGGGGATGTAGCTCTGTGGAAGAGCAGTCGCCTAGCGTGTATAAGGCCCTAGACTCTCAAAAAGTATTGACTTTCTTATCTAACTTCTTGATTAGTGTCTACTTGGCTCCAGTAACACCCAAAACAGGAAATGAAAACTAAATTTGATGCATAAAACCTATTAGAAACTCAGCAGTCAGTTATTACAAACCTAATTGATTTGAATATTCTGGTTCTTTTTTTTTCCATTCCTCTGTTTCTAGGCTATTCAGGCAGCTATCAGCCAGGCCTTTAAAACCCCAGAGGTCATCAGACTGTTTGCAAAGAAACAGCCAGGTCAGCTTCGGACCAGGTTAGCAGAGGTAAAACTCCTTTGACTTTACTGGTCGCTGTGCTTGTTTTTCTCCTACGTGCTGTTTGTGATAGTCTGCTGTTTAAAGTTGTCAGTTTATTTTAGAGCCACAGCCCACAATTTTCTGACAAAATTTGTACCTTGAGCAATTATAATTCATAATAAATGTGGATGCGTAAACAGTATGTAAGTTGCCTCCAACCGCTTGTGCTTGAACTCCATATTTAGTCCTTTACCATTTATGCCTGGAGCCCTAACTTGAGATCCTATTGAAAATTCATCAGCAGCACTGCTTCTGTGCATGTATGGCCTGTTTTATCTAAGAATTTGAGCATCTTCATAAACCTGGTAACTTCCTAAAGTGTATTTATGGGCTAACAGTTCAGTAGAATAATGAGAGACAGCGTAGATTTAGGGGCTGGAGATGGCTCAGTTGGTAAGTGCTTGTCATGCAGGCATAAGGACCTGGATTCAATCCCTAGGACCCACAAAAAAGCCAAACATGGCCAGGTGTGGTGGCGCATGTCTTTAGTCCCAGCACTTGGGAGGCAGAGGTAGGCAGATCTTTGTGAGTTCGAGGCCAGCCTGGTCTACATAGTGAGTTCTGGCAGGTCAGCTGGGGCTACAGGGAGACCCTGTCTCAAAAAGACAAACAAAACAAAACAAAACTCCAAACATGGATGGCACTGTGTACCTCTAATCCCAGCACTTGGGAGGTAGAGACTGGAAGATCCCTGGGGCTTGCTGGCCAGTGAGTTCAGGCCTTGTTCAGTGAGACCCTGTCTCAAAAGATAAGGTGGAGAACAAATTAGAAAGATATCTAATATTGACCTCTGACACACACCTGAATACATGTATGCACACACACAAGAACACATACGCACTCATATACATGTACAGAATAAAAGAACATAGATTTAGGTCAGATTGGTTGGATTTTAATCCCTATTCTACATTCTGAGTAGGAGTGTGGCCTATGGAAATTTATTTTATTCAGCCTCTTTGTGCCTTGGTTTCCTGATATACAGGAAGTTGATGACCAGTCACCACATCTTGTGGTTGTCATGATGATCCGATGACACTTAGAAGCTGGGTGCAGTTCCACACCTATGTATAGTCCCAGCTACTTGGGAAGCAGAGGAAGGAGGATCTCTTGATGCCAGCCTGGAGAACATAAGAATCCCTGTTTAGGGGGCTGGAAAGATGGCTCAGTGGTTAAATACTCTGACTGTTCTTGCAGAAGACCCAGGTTCCAATCCCAGCACCCACATGGCAACTAGCAACTGTCTGTAACTCAAGTTCCAGGGGCTCCAACAGCCTCTTCTATCCTCTGCAGGCATTGCACGACACAGGGGCACTTACATACATGTAGGCAATACACACATACATATAAAAATAATGAATAAAATTTTACAAAAGACAAAGAATACATAAAAAAATAAATAAATAATTTTTTTTAAAAAAGAGTCCCTGTTTGAAAATAAATAAGTAGTTCTGGCAAGAGGGTTCAGTGGGTAAAGGCCATGTTTAAAAAAATAAAAGTAGAATGTAAAAACCATGTTTTAGCCAGGTGTGGTGGCTCATACCTTTAATCCCAGCACTTGGGAAGCAGAGGCAGGCAGATCTCTGAGTTCAAAGCCAGCTTGGTTTATATAGCGACTTGCAGGCCGCTGGGGTACAGGGTCAGCAAGATGGCTCAGCAGGTAAAGGCGCTCAACGCTAAGCCTGATGACCAAGTTTAATCTCAGGGATCCACGTAGTAGAAGGAGAGAACTGACTCCTGCAAGTTATCCTCTGACCTCCACAGGTGCATTGTGGTACACAGGCACACACACAAAAATAAATAAATTCATGTAATTAAAATAAATAAAAATGAAAAAAAAAGTAGGCCAACATATAGCTCAGTAATAGAGTGCTTGCCCAGCCTAAACAAGGTACTAGATTCAATCTCCAGCACAGTAAAAGTAAAATAAATTTTAAAATTCTTCCTAGGCAAAGTGGCTGAGACCTGAAATCCCAGAACTTGAGAGATTGAGGCAGGAGGATTGCTTTGAGTTCAAGGCCAGCCTGGGCTACATCGTGAGTTCAAGCCAGCCTAACTTACAGAGTGAGATTCTATCACCCTCCTCCCACAAAAAATAAAAGAAAAACCATTTGGAATAGTACCAACATATAACATTTACTATTAGTGCTTCTGCTAGTAGGGATGATGTTTAGCATAATTTTCAGGCATCTAATAGCAGTTATACCAGCCAAACAATTGTAAATTAGTTTCAAAAAAATAATTTCTTAGTCAGATGCAGCTGTGCATGCCTGTAATCCCAGCATGTAGGAAGTGGGGGCAGGAGGATCAGGAGTTCAAGGTCATTCTTGGCTATGTAGTAAAGTTTTATTTATTTATTTATTTATTTATTTATTTATTTATTTATTTATTTATTTTATTTTGAGACAAGTTCTCACTGTGCAATCCTGGCTAGCCTGGAAATCTCCCACCAAGCTGGGCTTCAAATTCACAGAGATTCACTTGTTTTTGTCTCCTCAGTGCTGGGTTTAAAGGTGTATATCACTGCATCCTAATAATTTTTTTTTTAATTCTTTTTCTTAATTAAAAATTATTAGGATGCAGCCGGGCATGGTGGCACACACCTTTAATCCCAGTACTCGGGAGGCAGAGGCAGGTGGATCTCTGAGTTCAAGACCAACCTAGTCCACATAGTGAGCTCCAGGCCAGCTGGGGTTACAGGGAGACCCTGTGTCAAACAAAACAAAGCAATAGAGCCAGCAGGATGGTTTAGTGAATAAAGTACTGACCACCTAGCCTGACACCTGAGTTTGATCCCCAGACTCACATGGCGGAAGGAGGACTGACTCCCACGTTGTTCTCTGACTTCCACAAGAAGACCCAGGCATGCACATGTGGATATGTGCAAATAAACAAATGTAATTCACAGAAACTTTTTGAACTTTCATAATAGTATTTCTGTCATGTTTGTCTCAGATCATTTCTTTAGTTCTCTATCATATTAACTGAAAGTAGGTCTGAAGAGCTGGGCTTTCTACATAGAATGTTTTTCACTTACATACCGTATGCCTCACATTCATCCATTCTAGATGGATAGAGACCTGATGGTAGGAAAGCTGGAAAGAGACCTGCACACTCAGCAGAAAGTGGAGATCCTGACCGCCCTCAGGAAACTTGGAGAGAAGGTACTGGTATTCGATTTAATCTATTAGGTAGAGCAGTTGTGTTGCATGTTACAGAACTTGCTGACCTATGATGCAGTCTGTAGACCTACGACATTTGTAGCTGTGGCTCCTAGAACATGTTCTTCATTTGAACTCACTCACTGCACCCTGTCTCATTTGTGTAGCTGACAGGAGAGGATGAGGCCTTCTTGTCAGCCAATGCAGGTGCTGTCCTCAGCCAGTTTGAGAAAGTCTCCACAGACCTTGGTGAGTGCCCTTACTGTTCCCCCCAACCCTTCTTCTAGCAGAATGAATGTAGATTTATTAAGGAAAGTAAGAAAGGACTCCTGAGAGTGGGAAGGGCACCAAGGGAGGAAAACCTTTCTCTTGTTTTGGAGATGCTGGTAATTGAACCCAGGGTCCATGTATGCTAAGCACACTCTACCAGCTCCTTGCACTTACATTTCTGAAAGCTGGACTCTGTCACAATTCTAGACTGACAGAGAGCATGCTTGATCCAATACAGTGACTTTTGCTTGACTTTTGGGTGACAGGATTGTTTTCTTTATAAATCCTTTGTGTTGGTTTTCAACTTAAAAATATGATTTATTATTGTTTATATTTCTGTATATCTGTGTGACAATGTGTGTGTGTACACATGTGTGGGAGTGCCCACAGATCCCTTGGAGCTGGAGTTACAGGCATTTGTGACTTGCCTGATAGGGATGCTGGGATCTGAACTCCAGTGCTCTGGTAGAGCAATGCTTTTAGCCCTTGAGCTATCTCTCCATCCTCCTCCACTTTTCATCCCTTTTTTGATGCAAGATCTTACTATGTAGCCCTGGCTGGCCTTGAACTCATAATCCCCCTGCCTTGATCTCCAAAGTGCTGGAATTATAGGCATGTACCACCATACCTAGCTCCAGTATGTTTTAAATATAAAGACAGCCTAATTTTTGTAAATATTTTATTATTTTTATTTTTTATGTGTACGTGTGTAATGCCTGCATGTATGTAAGTGCACCCATGTCATGCAATCCCTGCAGAGGACAGAAGGCATTGGATCCCCTGGGATTGGAGTTAGGGACAGTTGTTACCTGTCATGTGGGTGCTTAGATTCCAACCCAGGTCTACTGCAAGAACAACCAGTGCTCTTAACCACTGAGCCATCTCTCTAGCCCCAAGACAGCCTAATTTTCAAAACAAAATATGCCTTTAAATTGTTTTTCTTACATTTATTTTTCGTGTGTGTGTGTGTGTGTGTGTGTGTGTGTGTGTGTGTGTGTGCGCGTGCGTGCGCACGCGCCACAACCCAGGTGTGAAATTTTTTTTTTTCTTTTTTTCTTTTGAGATGCTCTTTTGTCTAGGTTGGTCTTTAACTCCTGGCTCAAATCATTCTCCTTCCTTAACTCCCAAGTACCTAAGACTTTAAAAATTAAAAATAAAAATAAAACTTTCAAATGATAAGGTCTTGGGTCTTTAGCTTATAGGTGTTTCTGATCTGAAGAACCTGGTATCTCTTTGAAAATTAAAAACAAAATGAAACTTCCAAGTATCTGAGAGTTTTCCAAATAGACATGGTTTTCTTCTAAAAGAGATAATGGTACTAGTAATACATTTATAATTTGCAGTAGAAGAAAATCAGCCAGTCATGGTGATGCACACCTGTCATCCCAGCTACTGAGGAGTCTGAGGCAGGAGGATTGCTTGAACACAGATGAAACCAGCCTGGGCAGCACAGCCATACCCAGTCTTTCTTATTATTTTTTTATGTGTATGTGTGTATTGCCTGCATGTGTATTTGTAAGTACACCTGTATTGTGCAGTGCCCGCGGAGGACAGGAGAGGCTGTCGGATCCCCTGGAACTGGAGTTACAGACAGTTGTTAGCTGCCGTGTGGGTGCTGGGATTCGAACCCAGGTCTTCTGCAAGAACAGTCAGTGTTCTTAACCACTGAGCCATCTCTCCAGCCCCATGGTTTTTTGTTTTGTTTTATTTTGTTTTGTCTTTTTTGAGACAGGGTCTCCTTGTAGCCCCAGCTGTCCTGGAACTCACTATGTAGACCAGGCTGGCCTCAAACTCACAAAGATTCGCCTGCCTCTGCCTCCCAAGTGCTGGAATTAAAGGCATGAGCCACCACACCTGGCCCAGCCCCATGTTTTTTTTATTTTTTTTAAATATTTTATTATTTTGCAGGGTGCGTGTGTGTAAGTGCATCCGTGTCATACAAGGCCAAGGGAGGTCAGAAGAGGATGTCAGATCCCCTGGAACTGGATTTACAGATGGTTGTTAGCTGCCATGTGGGTGCTGGGAATCGAACCTATGTCCTCTGCAAGAGCAGTCAGTGCCCTTAACCACTGAGCCATCTCTGTAGCCCCTGCAGCCTGCAGCCTAATGTTTTTTTAAAATACCTGTCAGCAACACACAACTCTAAAAGTAAACTAGAACTTTATACATTCTCTTTCCTACCTAAAGCAAAGGTAGGTTTGGTAACCAGTAAGCCATTCTTTGTGGCTGGGTTGATTGTGCAGGGAGAAGACGGGATGGTGGTGGGCACCACAGGGCTAATGCCCCGATGATGGCAGCTTACTCTGTTTTCTATTTCCATATCTGTGTGATAGATTTCCCCCTCATAACCTGGAATTGTAAATACTTTTTAAGATAAGCTTTTGATTTTTGTGTCTTTCTCCTTAGGCTCTGGAGACAAAGTCCTTGCTCTGGCAAGTTTTGGGGTTGAAAAAGCAAAAAAATGACAGTCTGGAAGGAAACTTTAGCACTGATCCCATCCTTACTGGACGTGGCATTTTCATTCTGAGGATTTGGAGTCGGGACAAAGAAATAGAGATTCTCAATATTCTGTACCATAAGAGCAGGTGACGTGGACACATGCTGTAGCTTCTTTTTAGGATCTTTGTTATTTTCTGTGATGGGCTCCTTCTTGATTGATCTTGGACTTTATTCATTATGATTTGTCTGAGAACAGAAAATGCACTTCTTCCTCTGTTTTTCTTAAGATGCTGTTTTTCAGTGCTGATAGGGAATGAAAGATGTGAGCTAATGACTCCCGTTTCATTACTCCACTTATGGGGTGAACAGTACAGTAACATCATTAGACCTGTGTTTATAGAATCCTAGGAAACATTTCATAGTCACACAAAGAAACTGGCACTTAGAAAGAGCAAGTCCTTTGTCTAAAGTTATTTTAGAACCAGATCTGGGGATAAGACTTAAGTCCTGACTCTCAGTGTATTACCCTTTGAGTTTTAGTTCTTTATTTTGTACTGTTTTTAAAAAAAATAACTTGTATTTGTGCAAGTTAACATCTATTAAATCTCAGTGTCTAACCCAAATCCGAATGGGCACTAAGGGGCTGTTCCCAGCCTGTGAGCTCTCAGCATGAATGGGGCCCATTGTATCTCTGAGTTCCTAACTTGGAACAATAGGAGCCCTGTTGAGAGTCTCCTGGAGTAGCTTCACCTCCTGCTTGTTTCACTTTGAAGCAATAGGAAATGGCAGCTGGAGGCCCTCCTTGTGGCCCTCCTGCCAGACCCCAGGGTGGTGACAGTAAGTTACTTTCTACTCTGCACAAAATAATTTAGAGAAAAGAAATTTTCTCTCCTGAGAGATCGTGACTCCTGCTTGGTCAGATGCACAGCTGTGTCCTCATGCGTGTAATTAGCTTTTTCCTGGGCATCTCCTGGTCTGTATTCATTCGTGTGTTTCTCAATATTCTCTTTCTTTGCACTTCAGATGAATTAAAAACATTTTTAATGCTTCCTATAAACTTAAATTCACTAGGTGCTTTGCCAACTGGACAGATTTGGGACCTCAACTATATTAATGCCTTATTTGGAACTTTTAGTGTATTTTGATTTTTTTGAGATGGGGGCTCACAGGGCCAGCAGGATGGCTCAGTGGATAAAGGTGCTGCCAAACCTGACAATCTGAGTTCAATCCCCTGGACCCACATGGTGGGAGGAGAGAACTGACCCCCCCCCAAGTTGTTCTCTGACCTCCACACATGTGCCATGCCCTCCATAAATGAATATAATAAAAAAGTAAGAGGGGGGTTTATGTTCCCCAGGCTGACTTTGAAGTCCTGGGCTCAAGCTATCCTCCTGCCTCAGCCTCCCAAGAAGCCGGTACTACAGATGTGTGCTGCTGTGCCTGGCTAATGGGCTGTTTTTAGGTACTGGTTTATGACCAGCAAACACTTGCTGAGTTTATAACCAGCAAACACTTGCTGAGTTTATAACCCAGCAAGGAAAAAGCAGGCTACCTGCTGTCACCTAAGGTACTGTGATGTATACTATTCATTCATTGTTCTATATTGTATAGTAGAGATGAAATTCATATTGATAGAAAGTTCACCATTTTCAGTGGCAGTTCAAATTCACAGTGCTGTGCAACCATCAGATCATTTCCATCAACCCCACAACCCGGTGTCCCCACCCACCTCCTTCCAGCCCTCCAGCATCGACTAATCTGCTCTCTGTCTCTGTGGGCTTAACCTCTTCTGGATATTCTGTATGAACAGAATCATACAATGTGTGACCTTTTTTGTGTATCTGGCTTTGTTCACGTCATACAATATTTTTAGTGTTATACCACATTGTAACTTGTATAAATGCATCATTCCTTTTTAGTTTAGCCATTTATTTGATGATGCACATCTGGGTTGTTTTCCCCTTTTAGCTGTTGTGGTCAGTGCTGCTGTGGATCTCTCTCTCTCTCTCTCTCTCTCTCTCTCTCTCTGGTCTTTTTGAGACAGGGTCTCCCTGTAGCTCCTGCTAGCTTGGCACTCTCTATGTACACCAGGCTGGCCTTGAACTTGCAGAGATCTGCCTGCCTCTGCCTCTGAGTGCTGGGACTAAAAGCATGCTGTGGACCTCTTTATACAAGTACTTAGTTGGATTCCAAGCTTCAGTTATGTTGGCATTTTAAGCTGTAACAAGATTATCCTTTGTCTCCTGATCCCCCAGTAAACAGGAAAGCTAGTTGCATTTGAAAGAGACTCATATGAATCTAGAGTGGTAATCATGGTTTCCTTTAAGGGCATCAGTAGGCTAGGTGTTGTGGTGCACCTGTAATCCCTGTAATCCGCAGAGACTGGAGAACGAGAAGGTAGAGGCCAGTCAGAGCTCTGTGGTGAAACCAGCAAGAACCAAACCAAACAAACAGCACAGAGCAGTATGACTAAAATGTGTTTCATTAATCACATCAGTGTATTCAATTTACAGTTACCTTCCTTTAAAAGACACTGACCTTCGTGGCCACGTGACCTTCAGTTGGTGACTTCATCTTTTTGAGCCTTGTTTCTCCTGCATAGTAGGGATTGTGAGATCTATCTCGCACAATTATTTTGCATTTCCAAGTCTTTTTTTTTTTTGGTCTTTTTGAGACAGGGTCTCCCTGTAGCCCCAGCTGTCCTGGAACTCACTATGTAGACCAGGCTGGCTTTGAACTCAGAGAGATCCACCTGCCTCTGCCTCCCAAGTGCTGGGATTAAAGGCGAGCACCACCACGCCCGGCTACATTTCCAAGTCTCAATACAGAGAAGTTTTGTGCTGGTGCTAGCCCACCATGTAGCAGCTCGTCTAACTACCATGTGACACATTCTTCACAAATGTCGTGTTCATTCAGAAAAACAAGTTGGGAATCGAATAAATTCTATGCAATTACAGTTATTAAATGGCTTGTAAACTGCGCCTCCTGTTCACATTTTGATGCTTTTTAGATCTCTGGAAGTTAGAGGTTGCAGTAATATTAAGGCGACTAACCTTTAACATTCTTAGGTCAGGTTAATATTTTGGTGGAAATTTTTGTATTTCTCAAAGAATGGGGGCTAAAGCAAAAAGTAAGTCCAATGAGAAAGTGTCCACATGGGCTGTTAAATGAAATCTAGTAATTAAAAACACTTCTTGTGTTTCAGGGTTGCTTATCCTGCGAGGGATAAAGTAGATATTCTAGGAGGCTTTCAAGAAGAAGCTAAGGGGTTGGGGCAAATGGGACTGTGCTTCGATTGTCAGACCTTGTATTGAAGACAAAGCCAAGCAAAGGTCATCTTTAGTAAAATAAAGAACTGCAAATCCACCACTGAAATGGTGTCTTATTACAGAAAATGACGGGTAATTTGAAATTATTATAGCGCAAATGGACCTGGCCATTTTGCCTACAGCCTGTTAGTCACCTTCCTGTCTGTGTTTTGTTTTTTCTCCTTATTCTGTTACTTTGCCTCTCAAAAGTAATTTTTTCAACATTAGTATGTGAATTAAAGCTGTCAGCATTGCCTCTGACTCCCATGAACAAATTGTACAATATAATTGCTTCCATTCTGTCTGGCCTTGGAAGTTAAAAAAAAAAGATTTTACAAACTGGAGAAACTGGTCCTCCTCCTCCTTCTCCTTCTTCTCCTCCTCCTCCTCTTGGTGTTTTTGTTTTGTTTTGTTTTTCTTTTTCTTTCTCGGGTGACAGTAGTGCAGGAAAGGATTATTCCTAAAATTATTCATTGGTCACAAATCCTCTGTCCCAATCTCTGGCAGTTCTAACCACGAAGTTTTGATGCTTCATACAAAAAAGCCTCTGATGAAACTGTGTTCCTGTCATAATTTCAACATATAAGTTAAGAATGTAACTTAGGGGCTAGAGGGATGGCTTAGTGGTTAAGAGTAGTGACTGAGGCCAGGCATGGTGTTGGCGCGTGCCTTTAATCCCAGAACTTGCTATGGTCTACACTGACTGCTCTTGTGGAGAACCCAGGTTTGTTTCTCAGCATCCACATAGTGTCTAACAACCATCTGTAACTCCAGTTCCAGGAGATTTGACGCCCTCTTCTGGCCTCCTTGGGCATTTTATGACATGGGTGCACTTACGTTCATGTAGGCAAAACATTCATACACATAAAATAAAAATAAATCAATTTTTAAAAGAATGTAAGTATAGGACTAGGCATGGTGGCACATACCTTTAGTCCCAGAACTTAGAAGGCAGAGGCAGATGGATCTCTTGTGAGTTCAAGGCTAGCCTGGGCCACATAGTGAGGTCCAGGACAGCTGGGACTACACCAAAAAGACCAAAAAAAAAAAAAAAAAAAGTTAGCTTTTTTTGTTTGTTTGTTTGTTTTGGTCTTTTTGAGACAGAATCTCTCTGTAGTCCCATCTGTCCTAGAACTCACTAGGTAGACCAGGCTGGCCTTGAACTCACAGAGATTGGTCTGCCTCTGCCTCCCAAGTGCTGGGACTATAGGCGTGTGCCACCATGCCTGGTAAGACTGTACTTTAAGAAAAAAAAATTTTTTTTTCATTTATTATTTTATGTATATGAGTGTAATGCCTGCATGAAGGTAAGTGCACCCATGTCATGCAGTGCCCAAGGAGGACAGAAGAGGCTATCAGATCCCCTGGAACTGGAGTTACGGACAGTTGTTAGCTGCCATGTGAGTGCTGGGATTTGAACCCGGGTCTTCTGCAAGAACAGTCAGTGTTCTTAACCACTGAGCCATCTCTCCAGCCCCAAGACTGTACTTTAAGAGAAGCTTATTAATATGGAAAACTGAAACTTCCTTTAGCACTGGCCTTCTTCAGTGTTCATTAACCAAGCCACACCAAGAACTAAGGTAATGGGCAATGATAGTCAAAGAGATAGGTAGTCCAGGCCAGAACAAACATTTGGCCTGGAGTAGATTGTCTGTGATTGCCAAAGGTCTATGGTTTGGCTATGAGCTTAGGAAACATGCTACTTTTGCTATTTCATCTTTAAAAATATCATTTTGTTAAGATCTTAAATTTATATCAGGTTTATTCCTGGACTTGACAGTTTATACTCTAAGTCTTGTTTATAAAGTTTAGAACTTGCCAGGCATAGTGGTACACACCTTTAATCCCAGTCCTCAGGAGGCAGAGGCATGTGGATTTCTGGGATTTCAAGACTGGCCTGGTCTACATGGGGAGTTCCATTCCAGTCAGGGCTATAGTGAGAACCTGTCTCAAAAAAAAAACCCAAAAGAACTTAGAACTTATTAATTGAACCATTCTGTTTCATGTTTACTGAGAGCATTTACTCCCCTGGCAAAAACTCAGACTTGTACCTCCCTTCATGCTGTCTTCCAGAAGTGGGAGTGGCTTGTTCCCAGGCCGGAAGATACCAGCAGCAGGATTTCCTATGGAGGCCCTCAGGTAGGCACACTGTTCTCAAGATGAAAAAAGACAGGCACCATCCTTCCTTTGTGAGTAGAAGCTTCCTTCATGGAGGCCTTTGTTCAAGAAGTGAGACCAGGCAGTGGCACCCTCTGGCCGTACCCGGGTTTCTGAACTCCTGCTAAGTTAGCTTTGCCAGAGCAGGGGGTACATTGTGCCAGGTTAATTTTGTTACAACCAAAGCAGTGGACAGATCATGCAGAGTAGGCCTTTTACATTTGAAAATTGCTTATCCGTGCTGCAGATTAGGTATTAAAATTGAAGACATGCTGTGGGAAAATCTTTTTTTTAATATTTTGTTTGTTTATTATTTTTATTTTATGTGTATGAGTGTATTGCCTGCATATACATGAGTTCACCCGTCTCGTACAATGCCATGGAGGTCAGAAGAGGGCTTCGGATTCCCCTGGAACTGGAGTTAAAGACAGTTCGTAGCCGCCATGTAGGTGCTGGGAATCGAAGCTGGGTCCTCTGCAAGAGCAGTCAGTGCTCTTAACTGCTGAGCCATCTCTCCAGCCCCTCTGTGGGAAAATCTTAACAGTAAATACTTCTGGGAGGGGTATGTTTCTTTTTGCCATCTCTGATATTGAATCTTTCCCCAGAAATTTACTATATTAGTATATGCTAGACATATTTTTTAGCTCCTTTTTATTAGTTTCTAAAATGGATATCAGACGCAGTGCTTTTTTCTTCCAGATAAGACTCATAAGTGTTTATATGGTTAATACAAGGGATTAGCAGGTAAAGGTGCTTGCTGTACAATCCTGACAACCTGACTTCTAGCCTAAG